CGGCCGAGGCCAAGATATCGGTCAAATTGATGCACCAAGAATCTGCACAGGACGAACTCGACGAAGTGTTGCGTACAGAAAACGCCCGGCTGCAGGCCCAGTTGGGAAGGAGTGCACTTGTKGAGGCCGCGCTGCAGTCGAAGGTACACGATTTGGAGCTGGAGCTGACCAAGCTAACGGGAGTGACGCAATTCGAGCAGGGGCAGTACCAGGATGGTTTTGGAAGTGAGATGATAGACAGCTCGTCAACGTCAATGATAYTAGATCAGTGTAGTTTGTCACAAATGAGCCACGACCAAAAGGCCAGTTGTCTGGACCTAGGAAGCGGTGATGACCAATTGATACCTAGTTTGTTGTTGTCAACAAAAAGCTGTTCCGTCRWTGAGGAYGACCAACTATCTAATTCGCAGTCGATCATTGACGACCACCAACTGTCGTGTTTGGAGTTGACCGACGACGACCACCGATCGCTAAGCCCAACTCAAACTGCTGTGCAAGAAAATGCCGATGAACTGAGAAGTCGTCGTTTGGCCGAACTAATAAAACAATACGAGGGGCTGCACGGATATGCGGTCTACCGAAATTTTTCTGCTCAGATAAGCTAGACATATTATGTAGACCGCACACCTATAATAATACGCAGTAAATAGTAATAGTAGTATGTAAATAAATAGCCAAATTAAAATAGTAATCAAATATTTTAATTATTAGTATATTAGTAAAAATCATTAAAAATAATGGTATGTAAATGAATAATACAATACACCATGTCATAAGTCAAAAATATTTTTAAAAAAAGCAAAAAATCTTACTAAGAAAATTAAAAATTATGTAAAAACTATTAAAAATAATTTTATGTATAAAAACCTTAACGATAAACCGCTTTAATGTCCCTCAATTAATTGCATGATTATATGCATTAATACACGGTTGGTTTACTGATCGACGGCTGTTCAGTTACTAACAAACTTATTAAATACACTACCAGACTGTGGTATATCAGTGATTTTGTCTTTTAGTATATAGGCGTAAAATACAAAACTTTATCATAGGTATACAATATATTAAGAGAAAATTATATTTGGGTCAATTTTATCTTTAAATGTTTTTTTTTTTATCGCTGCTCAGATAAACTTTGAAAATAAAATTCAAAATTCTCCTAAATTTTTCATACATTAAAAAAATTAAATTTCAGAAAGTTAGA